CTTATGCCCAAATAAATCTGTTAGTCTTTAAGGTGCCACCAGACTCCATGTTGTTTTTGTAGATACAGACTAACATGGCTACCCCCTGATACTTGACACCAAGTCAGCCTAAGCACCTGTTTTGCTCATAACTTACTGAAATTTTCACCTTTCAGGCTGAAATTTCCCCAGCATGATATATACCCAACTTTTTTTTTGGAAAATCTGAAAAAAAGCAGTTACACTGTTCTCATCATACAATGTTATTCTGAAATTTTCTAAACAGGTCTCACATTGAAGCAGATAGGGTTAAAAAGTGCACATCTAGAAAGGAGATAGTCTTTAGGGATGAAAAATTCATTTTAGTGCTTTAGTGAAAAATAGTTTGATTTGGCCAAGCTCTGAAGGTTTGAAAAAAATTATGTATGAATGGTAGTTTGTTTTTGTTTTTAAAGACAGGACTATAACAACCATCTCCTAGTGTTCTAAATGAAAGAGGTCTGTATCTAATTTAGAACCACAGTAACAACAACAATAACATGTAATGAGCTCTGCTTCAGTCAATGGGAATTTAAGCATACATTCTGAAGGAGTCAAGGGCTATATAAAAGCCCTTACCTCCTTTAGAGTTTTCTATGTGAAACTGTGGGAGCCTGAGGCAGCTAAAAATGTGTGCAGGTATGTGTTTTCCATGTTGTAGACACTTGTATAGTTTCACTTTTGACATATAGTAGTGTCTATTCCTCCCCCGCCTCCCACCAAATGTGACTAAAGATACTTTTCTGGGGGGGAAAAGAAGACCATAGGCATTTATTATTATATTCTAATATATAAAGCATATGTTAAGAAAACAGTAAAGTTGCAAAGTTAGGCATTCAAAAATCAGGAAAAGTGAAAAGTAAACCTTAACTCCCTCCCCTTGTGCATATGCATTACAATATTGTAATTATTTAAATGATCACACACTATTATTTCTACTTCATCTAAGCAAAGTTATGTTCATAGTTACTGTGATGAACTGGGAACATGTATTTTTATGAATGTATTATAAGTCTGTTTTCTTGTTCTGTTTTGTATTGCTGCCTAATTGAATGCACATAGCTATATCAAAGGAGGCTGTAAAGAAGATGTTACAGAACGGAACAGGAAAGGTAAAACAACCACTCAGGTAAGACATTCTCTCAAGTATCTTGGTTTTCTTCCATGGAATTAATATAATGGATGGGCCCTCCAGCTAGTGGGAGAATTTGCCTGGCTGGCTCCATCCAGGTTAGGATGTTTTACTCTTCCCAAGACTAAGCCTGGGATCAAAAGACACCCTAAAAGATCAAAAGACTAGGAATGCTTTAAAAGGTGCCCCTGAAAAAGGAGGGTTTTTGGGGGGGAGAGAGAGGGGGTCAGCTGGGAGAGGTGGCCCTGGGTGTGTCAGGAAAAAGCTGACAGGCTGTGAGGTCTCCAGTGAAGAAGGCTGTAAGCAGTACAGGCTGGTTCTCCCACCTCAGAGATGGGGAACAAGTCGGACCAACCCGAGCATTGGATAGAAATGTTAAGCTTAGGTAAGGGAACTTTTGTGTAGGTCAGTTATTTTAAATCTACTTCTCTAAGCACTGTGTACCTGTTGGGAAAAACAAAACATGCTTTGGTTTGAATAAACTGAATAAAGGGACACAAACCTGACATCAGGAATCATAACATTCAAAAACCAGTAGGAGAACACTTCAATCTCCCTGGTCACTCAATAACAAACCTAAAAGTGGCAATTCTTCAACAAAAAAACTTCAAAAACAGACTCAAATGTGAAATTGCAGAACTGGAATTAATTTGCAAACTGAACACCATCAGATTAGGCCTGAATAAAGACTGGGAGTAGTTGGGTCATTACAAAACCTAAACCTAATTTCCCCAATACTAATTTCCCCCTACTGTTACTCACACCTTCTTGTCAACTGTCTGAAATGGACCACTCATTACCACTTCAAAAGTTATTTTTCCTCCCTTGGTATCCTGCTGTCAACTGAATTGTCTCGTTAGACTGACCTCACACTTGGTAAGGCAACTTACATCTTTTCATGTATTTATACCTGCTCCTGTATTTTCCACTCTATGCATCTGATGAAGTGGGTTCTAGCCCACAAAAGTTTATGCCCAAATAAGGTGCCACAAGGACTCCTCGTTGTTTTTATTGCAAATGTAGGCTGTCATAGGCGCCCAGAGAAAAAGATCTTGCAGGTGCTAAGCTCACTGAACCTGCTAAATAACACGGCTGGCAACCAGGGAAGTAACCCAGAAACTCAGCTGGAGAGTGGCTGGATTGGAAGATCTCATCCCAAAGAGAAGTGGATGCCTGATACTTGAAAGGGATGCACTCTCAAGGGACTGGAAAAGGGTCTGAGTGTGGGCAGCCTACTCAGGTACTGCAACAATTACAGTAGCGTTAAACCAGAATAACTCTACTGAAGTCAGAGGAGTTCTAAATTTGCACTACTGTAAATGTGACCTAAGTTTGACCATCAATGCACAGGTTGGGCACTATACAGTGAAGTGAAATTAAATACATGGATGCATTTCGTTGAACAGTGAGGACTACAAAAAAGATATTTACATATTAAGTTATTTTAAAATAAAAAAAAAATTAAATTTTACTTCCATTGAGAAAGAGAAAATAATTTTGGCTGACAGATAACAATGGTACTGGGTACAGTCTGCATCTTTGCTTTTGTTGTAATGGTGTTTTGGCATTCATGTCACACTCCTGCCTCAGGCAACATTTTCATTTTCACACTTCTTTGCGAACAGAATTTCACCCCAAGAATGGAATGAAGGTTTCAAGTACCAAATCAAGAGCTCATTTGGTTTCATTCTGCTCACATTGTCCTCTTTTTGCTTTGTTGTTTTGAGCTACTTTAGTCTGTTTGTTAGCGTATGAAATTGAAGATCAACCTAAGGTCTGATGGCATTAATTTGGGGTGACTTGTAGTTATACTATGCTATGCACTTGCATCTTCTTCAGAATCCATGTCATAATATAACCAGAGATGAGCCTGACACACAAAATCAGATCCAGATCCAGAAAGATATTTCCCAAAGTTTGATGGTGTTCACACAGATTCATATGTAAAAGTTGCTTCTCTTCTTTTACAGAAATAACAATACTGGTATCATGGATAAGCTATCTCTGGAAAAAGATGTACGAGTTTAGTCTTGAAATTCTTGAATTTAGAGATTGTTTGAATCCAGGGTTTTGGTTCAGACAATCTCAAAAGTGTAGGAGATTTTGAGACACCTGTAGTTAACAGAGGACTTCAGTCTCCACAGCTACAGACACTCCACCAGATTTTAAAAATAAATAAATTATCTTAATGAAACATTTAGTGTTTGACAACCATATTCATTATTGTTAGACTACATACTGTATATAAACACACGGTTGAGCAAAAACACACGTAAATTCTGTAGCTTACCAGCACACAGGTTTCCATGGTAATACGGGCAAGAAAAGTCATCCATTTCACAGTATTTGCCATACACTTTGCCCACCCTGGTTTTGTGACAGAGACATCTTCCACCTATGCAGTCTCCTTGACCACTGCAGATGGGCTGGTCCGGGTGCAACTTACATCTCTCAAAAGGAAACGTATCTTCACTGGAACTACAGTTAGTGTCTTCGCAATGGGTGCTTTCACCATCGAGAAAAGTTTCATCGACACATATTCTTTTGTGCCTTGCACTGTCCTCACACTGACAGGCACAGTTTTTATATATATTAATTATGGTGGTTTCATTGAAACCAATAGGTTTGATTATCACATATTTTCTTCCTTCAGTTGGACCACATCCTTTCATTGCAACTGATACATTAAAAAGCACCTAAGAAAAAATAAATACTGTATTTATAATGTAGTAATTATTTCCTGTAAATTGTTTCAACATTCTATCATAAATTAAACAAGAAATCATACCACTTGTAATACTTACCAAGCAATAAGACTGAAGACACAGTAGCAATTGATGAATGCATCATATTTTAGTAATGACAAAAGTAACAAGCATAGTGAAACCCAATAGTACAAGACCAACAACAGCCTACATTTCATGTTGAAAACGATCTGCAGAATGCAGATTTAAACAAAGGAATACAGAATTTGCAAAGGTAGCTGTTCTATTTCTAACTTCTGACAGTGATGTTAGAAATTTCCTTGTCTTGTTATTATTTACATTATGACAACCCCTAGAAACCTTGATCAGAATCGGGACTCTGCACTGTACAACAGACACGTCCCTGCCATGAAGAGTTTACAATTTATGCCAATACAAATGTATCAACCTTTCGGAGTAGCCTAACATCAGTGAGTTAACATATTGATAACCTTTGTGTCACTTTAAGACAAAAATAAAAGTATTTGTTTGAACAACATATACATGCCCATTGCACTGTTAAGCCTGTAACACCACTTACACTTTTTGGCATTTCACCAACACTAGCTCAGCAAATAAAACAAAGTTCAAATAGTAAATATTTGAAGGTTCACTATGCAATCTGAATTATACCATATGTATGTTTCCTTTGGAGACCTGATCTGGTTTTTAGGACTTCTGCATGAATACCTTGGATTGGCCATGCATGACCTCTGCTACTTGAGGACTACATACACTTAGTTTCCAATATGCAAAATATGAGATCACTAGGACCCTTAACACTGTGTGTTGCTGGCAGCTTAATGAGTGCATGGGTAGGTTCTTCCCTTCATGACTTATAAATGAGCAAGGAAAAAAATAAGGACTGTAGACTGCACAGAGTGAAATCTTTCTGGCTGCCAACTCATTCCCGCTATAAGCAAACAGAAACCAGGGACTCATCAAACCTTCTTCCACCGGACAAAAAAGCCAGCTGGAGGGGATGATGGAGTAGACCATCCTCTAAGGAATCTTCAACAATATATCCCCACTACTTTCAAATGGTTAGGCGTGGGAAAGACCTCCCTCCAACCCCCTGGATCTTACACAAATGTAACAAAACCAACAACAAGAACCAGCCTGAAGTCTGAGCCCAGGGCACATCCAACTCTTGCCCTGTGGTGCAGAGAGGGCTACGGGAGCTCTTGGTGGCTATCCAGATTCTAGCAGGGGGCAGGAGAAGGACAGACAGACCCAGAACATAGAACTGTAGAGAGCTAAAGGCAGTAGTAGTTCTGCAAATCACTTCTGCAGAGCTGTCCTTTTTTCTTCTGGTCCTTCTGTCATGGGATACGCATCTTCTTTGATATGCCAGCCCACTGATGAACTAAAACCCATGGCCTTTGGAAACTTTGAAGGCAGTAAATATTTTCCCATGGGTTGGGTCAACCGAGTATTAAAACCTTTACATTTGGTGCTTGTCTTTTTCATTGGTAGGGTACTGCCTGTGAAGGCAACCACGCACAGGGGCCTCTTTTGAAAAGCTGCTCAGCCTGCTGACTGGAAAGGGAAAACTCCCATCTGTATTCATCAGAGCAGGAATATAAACAGAAAGAAGGGGTGGCAAAAGAATTAGGGAAGAAGGAAATGTTTCCTCCAGTCTAAGGAGGTAACTAGGTCTGTAGACTTCCAGATCAAAGCCCAGATACCGAAAATAAGAAACTCACTATTGTATTACACAAGAAGTTGGACTAAGTACAAGAAACTAAAACTGCTTATTATTTCTCCTTTTCTTCTCTCCCCCCCCCCACCTCTCTGACCCCCACCTGGAGAAAGCCAGACTTTGTTTGGCAGTTACCTCTCTCTTGGGACCAGACTGAAGAAAGCCTCAGACCTGATTTGTACATGGATAACAAAGAGAAAAGCTGTGCCTCCAAGCAACAGGACATGGTATATTGTCTTTTTCCCGTATTTTTTTGATGCATGAGCCTAAAATCCTGGGCCACCACTGTACAACATTTAAAGGAGTAACATGCTTTTAGGACACAGTATGAATACCACCAAACATTATGACCAGCCTTACTAGAAAGACAAGCTGAAGTGCTTATACCCGGAAGAGGTCACAGAATCTTCCAAAGCATAGAACAGTTTTGTGTTTTGGTAGGAGGAGAAAGAAAGGAGGATTGTGCAATGAAAGGAATGTGAGAGTTAAGGAAAAGCATTCTCCAAGTAAACAAATACTAAAAGGAAGATTTACTGTTAAGAAGTTAACCTCTTGAAGAAGGCTAATTTTCAGCTGCTGCTGGTTTTGGACCACATTTGCTATCCTTTATAATCAAATGGCTTTTTTTTATTAAAAAGACAACAGAACTAATTACAATGATACTACCTATGACAAACATAGGTGGGAACATTGTAGCTGAGCTTAAAGGAAAAAACTAGCAAGCCCATCTGGAACTAGTCATGCAAACAAAATCTACACAAGTATAAAGCATAGTGTAATTTCTAAATTTCACACAGCAAATCCACTGATTTGTGACTGCATACATACATAGACATGAGTGACTTTAGCTAAGCTACATAACCTTGGTAACAGGAACAGAACTCCTTGAATTTACACTCCAAAAAACATAGACCTCTTCTTAATGAATTAAATAAATTACTTTGCCAATTTAAGCAATAGAATAAAGATATAAATGCACACACAAATAGAACCAATTACATCCACTAGAGGATAATGCTCCAGATGGACATAAATTGACATTTTAATCTAATTTACACAATATACCAATTACCAGGATCTCTGGGCATGTGTAGAAGACACACTTTTTAAACAAAGAAGCAGAAAAAAATGCCCCAAGCCATGGCCAAGCAGTTGTCAATCTGCCTCTAATGACTCTTCTCTTCTCCTTGCATATCTGTAAGGCTCTTCAGCTGAAGAGACCTTTCATATAGAACATGAGCGCATTCAGTGCTGGGCTGTGGGGAATGGTCCTCATAAATATTATTTAGATGGTTGACAACAATGCTTTGAACCTTATCTCCATGAGATCACTGAGAACAAACAGTAGCTTTTGATTTTAAATAAGGTTCAGGAGAAATAATGCCAAGGAGAATGTGGAGACTTGATGATCAAGAACACAGAAATCTACTTTCAGTCTTAAAAAAGCGCTAGAAGATACCATACAACTAAGAAAAATACAATAAATAGCTCAATCCCTTTGCGACTGAGAAACTCAACATACTTCTTCATTATAGGCCACATTTTTGCATCCTTCCATGCCTGTTTTTCTACTTCCATCAGGACAGATTGCAGTTATGTTAAAGTGTAGATCTTGGATCTGGTTATCCACCTGAATTTTCACTTCAGAGATTAGTTTCTGTAAGGAAAAACAATTTTTAGTTACATTGCATTTCAACATATAATATGCATTAGCGTCTAAAACATGAGCATGCTTGACTGAGTGGATTTAACTGAAATGAATAAATCTAGTCAGTCTGTTTGAATAAAGGAATGAATTAAAGCATTCTTTTCCATATAAAGAGCCAATTATATTCCAAATACATACAACCAGTTAGCTAGTAATCCTGAAAAAGAAAACACGGTTACTAACCTTTCTGTAACTATTGTTCTTCAAGATGTATTACTCATGTCCATTACAATATAGGTGCGCGCGTTTAGGGTGCACCATCGTCAGAAGTTTTTTCCTTAGTGGTATCCGTCAGGTTGACTATGGTGCCCCTTGGAGCGGCGCCTTCATGGCGCGGTATATATTCACCTGCCGCCTTGCCGCCTCCTCAGTTTCTTCCTGCCGGCAACTCCAACAGAGGGGTAGGTGGGCGGGTTGCGGAATGGTCATGAGCAACACATCTCGAAGAACAGTTACAGAAAGGTTAGTAACCGTTTTTTCTTCTTCGATAGCTTGCTCATGTCCATTCCAATATAGGTGATTCCCAAGCAATCAGTTAAGTAGTGGAATCGGAGTTTCGCTGAGACACAGACTGGAGGAGCGCTGTACCAAAAGCTGCAGAATTTCTGACCTGTTGAGTGATGGCATAGTGCGAGGTGAATGTGTGGATAGAAGATCAGGTCACCGCCCTGCAGATATCCAGGATCAGGACTCGAGCCACAAATGCCGCTGAAGAGGCTTGCGATCTTGTGGAGTGTGCTGGCAAGCACGGAGGTGACACTTAAGCTAGGTCGTAGCACATGCGGATGCAGGATGTGATCCAAGAAGAGATTATCTGTGACGAGACAGGATTCCCCTTTATCTTCTCTGTGATAGCGACAAAAAGCTGAGTGGTTTTCTGGAACGGCTTGGTCCTTTTCTATGTAAAAAGGTGCACATCTAACGTCCAAAGACCATAGCCTCTGCTCTTGCCTATGAGCATCAGGCTTGGGATAGAATACTGGAAGAAAAATGTCCTGGCTACTGTGAAAATAAGAGACCACTTTCGGAAGGAAGGATGGATGTGGTCGAAGTTGGACCTTGTTTTTGAAGAGAACTGTATACAGTGGTTCAGAGGTGAGGGCCCGGATTTCTGCGACTCTTCTGGACAAAATAATGGCTACCATGAAGACTGTCTTACAGGACAAGTAGCGCAAGGGGCATGTTGCCATTGGCTCGAACGGTGGCCCTATCAGTCTTGACAGTACCTGGAAAACTGCATTCAAGATGTCTGGTCAGATGGACCACTCGTGATGATTGGTGAAGGATCTGTCAGCCTGTTCTGACAGCCTGTTCTGAGTGCCTGGTAGATAGGAGGCTTCCAGGGAAATGAAGTGGACTATGCAGTACTCCCATAGCCTCAGCGCTTCCTGGCACAGGGGAGAGGAGCGAGCCCCCTCCTGTTTATTTATATAAAACATTGTAGTTGTGACATGCATTTGCCATGTAGGTTGTGACAGAATGCCTGACAGGCTAGGTGCACCACTCTTAATTCCCTGACACTGATATGTAGGGCTAATTCCTCTGGCGTCCAGAGGCCCTGAGTACTGAGGGGCCCCAAGTGAGCTCCCCATCCCACGTCCGAATTGTCAGTGACCAGCAACATCAAAGGGGTGGGCCTTGTAAAGGAGATACCGGCACACACTGTGTCTCAGTCCAGCCACCACTGGAGAGTGAGCATTCCTGCTGAGGGAAGAGTGATCACCTTGTGCAATGGGTGATGGCCTGGTCACCCGATGCCAGCCAGGCTTGGAGAAGCCGCAGTCTGAGCTGCGCATGCTGCACCATGTAGGTACAAGAGGCCATATGTCCCAGGAGCCTCAGGTGATGGTAAAGGATTTCAGGCTGTTTATGATCTCTTGGATGGCCCTGAACCAGTTCTCCGGCAAGGAGGCTCTGGCCTGGTTTGAGTCGAGAATCGCTCCTATGAATTCTATCCTTTGAATAGAAGAGAAAGTCGACTTGTGCTCGTTTATCAGGAGCCCCAGGTTCCTGAAAGTGGACTGTATGAGATTCATATGCTCTTCCACCACATCTCTCGACCAACCTTTGATCAGCCAGTTGTCCAGGTAAGGGTAGATGTGCACTCCTTGCCTCCTGAGAAAGGCCACCACCTCTGCCATGCACGTCATGAATACTCGTGGAGCTGCTGATAGGGCAGCAAACCAGTCCCCTGGATCTTAGGGAAGGGATATTAGAAGCCAGGAAAACCATACAGAACTTCAACTTCTTCATGAACTTGTCTAGGATGGGTCTGAGATCCCTGTTGACCTTCGGGATCAGGAAGTAGTGTGAGTAAAACCCTTTGCCTCTTAACTCCACAGGAATCACTTCCACGGCTCCCACCCTTAGGAGCGACTGTACTTTCTGGGCCAGAATTCTCAGGGTCCCTGAAGAGGGACAGGGAGGGAGGATGGGAAGGAGGGGAAGAAATTAACTGCAGGGTATATCCCACTTCTATCCTGCAGAGCACCCAGTGGTCCGAAGTGATGTTGATCCAGGCACAGTAAAAATGGGACAAATGGTCCACAAACAGAGGTAATATCCAGGCTTTGGTCTGGTGTGCCATCCTCGGGCTCACCCTCAAAAGGACTGCTTAGACCCCGCTGGTTGTTTTGAGGGCACAGACGTGGATGTTGAAGGGGCATGAGGTGTATGCCTCCTCCTAAAGCCCTTGTTCCTCCGCCGACCGAAGTCCTGCCTCTGCTGTTGATGAGGCTGGTAGAATCGACTCTTAGGTTGGGGCTTATAATGTTTATGAGTCAGGGCCGGTGTGTGAAGTCCTAACGACTTCAGAGTCATCCTGGAATCCTTCAGATTATGAAGATGGGCGTCCATCTAATCAGAAAAGAGGAAATTTCCCTCAAACAGCAGGTCCTGAATTGTTTTCTGGACCTCATGAGGGCTGGACCCCATGTCGGCTGGACCAACCCCTGGGTCACTGGCACAGGATGCCCAAGGTCCACCTGATGTCTCCTCTGTCGCAAGGTATAAGACCCTGCCAGCAATTTTGGAGCCTGAGGACCCGCTCCTGAGTGATCATGACGGTGCCGTACTCATCAGTGCCATGCAGTGAAACCGCATTGAGAAGCCGTGCCTCAATGGTCATTTGCTCCAGGAACGCGATCGGCACCTCAATGGGGAGCAGTGCCAGGGATGCGACCGGCGCCGGGATTGTGACCAGCACCGGGGCTGCAATCGGCGAGGAGTGGAGCCCCTAGAGGATGAGAGATGCCAGGCAATGTCTCACCATCATTGTTGGCTTGCCCAAGACAAGCATTTGCCTCTGTGGGACAGGTTCCTACAGTACCGGGGCTGCCCCTGACGGGCCTCAGCTCAGAGAAGGCGCTGGAAGGGACAGAAGGCCTCTCACTGCCTCATATGCTTTTGGCGTAGTTGACACGGCCAGGGCTGAGTCACCTCTATAGCACACCCTAGGTGGGGAGTCCATGCGCATCGGACTCGAAGGGTCCCTTCCCGCGGCTGAAGTCAACAGTGCAGCCTGGTTGCTGCCCATGTGAGAGTGGCCCAGCACAGGTCTCACTCTGTCTGTGGCTTTTCTCAGAGGGGATTGTCCCCGGTCCGACTTCTTTGTCCTTTACTTCTGCACTGGTGATGGGGAGCAGTCCCAACCAGCCAGGGTTGACTTCTTGGCAGTCGGGGAAGTGTGTTGGTGCTGCATAACCAGTGCCAGGGATCCCGGGTCTTGCTGAGTCTCTGTAAATGAGGCCAGGGCACTTCTGACAGAGGAAGTGCTCGGAGCTGGGTTTGGTTTCGATTAAGGGCGAAGTGCTGCCTCCATTAAGAGAAATTTTAGTCTATTGTCTCTCTTCTTCTTAGTCCAGGGCTTAAAGTTGTTACAGATTCGGCATTTATCCTGAATGTGGCTCTCTCCCAGGCACTTCAGGCAGCTATCATGCGGGTTGCTTACGGCATGGGCTTGTGGCACGTTGCACACTACTTGAATCTCTGAGACCAAGGCGTGCCCCAGGGCCCATGGCGGTAGGTGCGGTGGCGCAGGAGCTTACAAATATTCTATCTTATCTAACTATTTGCTAACTACCGACTAATTGAACTATTTACACTCTATTTTACAGAGAACCAGTAAGGAGTATTTGCATACAGAGCAAGAGAACGAGAGCGTTCCAGTGACTGTCATGGATGGGAAGGAGGAACTGAGGAGGTGGAGGGTCGGCAGGTGTCTATATACTACACCATGAAGGCGCCACTCCAGGGGGTACCAGAATCGACTGGACGGATACAACTAGGGGAAAAACTTCCAGCGATGGTGCACATGACGTGCATGCAACTATATTGGAATAGACATGAGCAAGCACTTGAAGATGATTAGGGTATCCACATTCAAGTTTCCTGCTGTTTTTACATAGTTTTGTGACTGTGTATTTATGACCGTTGAAAAACCTATTCTAATGACTATGTGTAACAAAAACTGGCTATTGTAGCGACAATGCTGTCTTAACAGCACACTTTAAATAAAAGAGCAAGTATGCATCTATTGTTATCTAGCAGGAAAGGTTCCAAATTAGCTTGACAGTTTCCGCTTCTAACATTTTGCATCTATTTAGGAAGAATTTTCTCAGGACAAGCCTCAGGTTATTCTAAAAGCTACTGGATTATACTAACTGATTTATTCAGGACAGATGGTATGAAGAGGCAACTAGCCAATCCTGACTGGGGCATTTGAGTGCTACCGTCATATGAAACAAAAACCCAACATCATCAAAAATTGCTCTACTGTGCAATGAGTCCGCCTGTTCATTTAGAGGGAATATTGCTTGTATTTGGGCTTATTACAGATTTATTAAAACTGATTGATAAAAGCTACTACTATCTGTACAAAAGTGGTATGTATAATTTCCCCTTTTTAGTGGGTTTTAAATATTTGTTTAATTGGATATTTTCACTGTTATAAAAGGAAGATCAATTACATGAATCTGAAAACATGTTTTGTGACCTCTGAAAATTAGTGACTCATCTATGGTTTTTTAGCCAAGGAATTTCAGGCAGTGTTTTCCATAAATAAGCCGACAGATTTCCCTGCTTAGAACACAAGTGCCAAAGGCCCACTATCTAACATTAACATTTATTTTCTTATATTAAAACATTTACTTTCAGGAAGGCAAAACATCCAAGGCCAGTTCACCATGTATTTGTGTAGCACACATGCTAGAACCATGTTAAAAACGGAAAGTACCAAATCCACAAGGAAGGGAGGAAGGAAGGAAGAAGAGAAATAATGGATATTAGAGAAGTAAAAAACAGGACGAGAGAGTGAGTGGATGGAGCAGGAAAGTCCCAAAGAATCTTCAATGAAATAAAAAGGTTGCATTGTGAAATTTTCATTTCTTCTCACTGCGTATCTGTCCAAGGGTATCTCATAGAAATTGGGGTAGGATATTTGATGACTAACAAAAATGTGCCATGTTACTGGTCAGAAACTGTGTAGCAAGAAATAATCCATTGATACTATGGAATGCTAAAGAGGACAGTGGCCTTAACCAAATGATGCTTAGCACAAACCTTGGAAGTTTTCTGGAAATCAACTTTGAAAGTTAACGTTATGAGAGAAGACACAACACACAGATTAAATTCATTGAAATAAACTGATCTGTATCAATTCAACTCCCGCTATTTTGTCTGTCTTTGGCTATTTCATAGTGCCTGTCTTTAACAGCACTGCAAGCTAAATGTGCACTGATATACTTTAGTGACTTATTTGGTGCCTTGACAATCCTCAAACCTCAAAAGACAATGGTTTGTAAAACTTTTTTCTCACACAAAAGATGGCAAATGCTCTGAGATCTCCTTGCAAGTCCAATTTTAACACAGTTTTCCTGGTACGGCAAAACCTACTTTAAGACTATATCACAAGTGGACATCAGTAAATAAGACACTCCCAACTCCTACAAGTTAAAAAATGTTGCAATATACAGCCATATCGCGGATGCAAGGTCTATAGTTTTGTATTACATTTCTGAGCCTTTATGTAATATCGGTTTTGCGGAAAACAGCTAACAAAGAAAGCATATGTGTGGGAAAACAAAATGGGTAAAAAGGAAGAGGATAAAGGAGAGAACAGAGACAGAATATAAAACTAAGAGGGAGAAATAAAGAGAGACCAAAAAGGAAAAAAATTAGAGAAGGCAGAAGTGACAGAAAACAGTTAAGGAAGGTGGAGACACAGAAAATGCACCTAAACCCACAAACCACTTCCTAGGAAATAGCATGGCAACAGTGCAAAGGATCCCCTGGGACAGTTAGGAGCAATTAAGGCACCAATAAACTGAGAACTCATCTTAACCATCAGAGGATTAGGTCACTTACAATGTTCACCGGATATGGACCTCATGCTAGGAATTTCAAAGGAGCCAGGCACCCAACTCCTACAGACTTTCAATAGGAGTTTGGCACCTAACTCCCCTAGGCACCTTTGAAAATCTCAGCTTTAGGCTGTAGTTTATTATATGTAGGAAAACTGCACAAACAAGAAAAAAAAATTACATAATCTTCATGGGAAACATACCTGATAGGCTTCTACCACCAAATCATTGAGATTAGCTGCTTGCGATTCTATTTGTCTTGCGACAGTACCAGGCAACAGAGGCAAAAGATCCTATGAAAAATGCAATAATTTATTCACAATCATAATCTTAAAATTGCACTTTTAAAAAGAAATCAATTGCAATTATGACTTTTATCATACCTTATACCAGTGAAACTGGTTTCCTTGAACTGCAAAAATAACATTGATGTTGTTGTCTATCAGTTTTTCAGAAAGTTGCCCAAGCGATGGATGTTCCTGAAAAATAAAATAAATAATAAAAAAGACTTCAGTTTTGGTAGACTAAACCCATTTTAATCATATTCTGTGGTCTCTGAGCAGTAAAATAAACATACATGGGAGTTATTCCAATCTTTGAATACTTAACAAAAAATAAATTAAACACATATGATTCCTGGGAAAGTACAGGGAATTAATCAGGATTTCGTTCAATGCTTCCCAACCTTTTGATAGAGACACCATCTTCCATTGTATTGCTTTATGGGCCCTGATCCACCGATGCCAGGCCCTGGTACCACAGTTGTTGCCTATTAACCTTCCTCCCCCACACCTTTCTTGTATTTTTCTGTGCCTGTTTTCTCCTGCCACTACCCATCTATCTCATCTCATTTTTCAGCTTCTTTTTCATTGTTTTTTTCCCTTCTTCTGTTTGCACCAAGCTTCTACATTCCCTTGTTCACCAGAAGACAACATGCTACTCAAGATGATGAAAGTGGTAAGGACATAGAGGTTGGGGCATTTGGTGGTGTTTCTATAAGGGCAGGCTGCATATGCCTGTTATTGACAAATGAGGTGGCCATGGAAGCAGAGAATAGCTGTGCTAGTGCCAGTATGCGGCTGCTTTCACTTGTGGCAAGGAGGGAAGGGAGGAAGCTCATAATTCAACCACAGGAGGATGCACCTTACCCATCATTGTTGGAGTAAGATAACAGGAGTTATAGAACCCATCCCTACCATTGCTTTCTTCCTATTCACATCACTCCTACACACCCCAGACTAACTTAGCACTACCCCTGGGGGCCCACCACTCAGGCAGACACACACTGGCTTGATCAAATTCTTAAGTCCAGCAAGGAAATCAGATCTAACAACGGAAAGTGACTTTTTTGCACATATTTGTAGCAAACTTTGGAATAAAAGTTATTTTGGTAGCCCCATGTAGCATTTCCACAAAACTCCTACTGTATAGACTATTGTAGAAAAAACTAATGGGAAAACTGAAATAAAATCTACTTATAATAGGTCTCTGTGCTTTTATAAGACAGGACCACACAAACAGCACGATTGGCCTGTATGAATGGGGGGAAGGGGAGGAAGTTGTAGAGATGTTATTTATTATGATCACTATGGGATATCAATGGGAAGACCAACTGTACGATTGCAGCTGCAACAGCCCCTGTTTATATTGGCACAGCAGCAAAACACGATGGGTGAAACAGTGCTCAGCTTTACTCAGAACAAGTGCAGTCACAACAGCAGACTGAAAGCCCATTCACCAAAGGAGGAATTGTGAGAGTGAATGCAAGGTGCTTTTTATAGAGTTGCAACACCAAAATGCTCTAGTGTAGACAAGGCTTAGTACAGCTGGTGAAATGCAGTTTATGAATTTAGGTTGAATTCAGTTTGGGCTGAATAAAAAAAATGAGGAAAACAATTTTGAAAGGATCAAAACAGTTCTGAACTAAAACTGATTTTTTCCGGGGGGGGGGGGGGGAAAAAAAAAATCTATTGTGGTTCGAAATAAACTACTTTTTTTTTAGTTTGACCACTGAACTCAAAAATCAATTATTCACTCAGCTCTATTTCTGAGTTTGTGAGGTCCAGCCCAGTAGTCAAAATGCAGGAACAAACATTCAAGCAAGGTCAGCCAGCGGCAAGTCTGAAATCAATGGCAAAAGCTCTTAACTAGTTCTGTGGGAGTAGGACTGGGCTCCTAGGCCTGGTGACACAAACTCTTACTTAGATGGGGCTCACTGAAGTCTTATGCAAGTAACAGTTTGTAGGATTGGGTCCCAAGTCTATGCCTCAGCTAGTTCATTTATAAGTGCAACTACAGGTTACCTATATTTTCATGTTAACTCATTGTAATGTCCAAATTTGTTATGTCATGTATTAAAATATTATTAGACTTATAGATGACTTTGAAAACCTATTTCTTATTTTAAAAAAATAAGGCCAAAGTAAAAAAAAGTCATCTGAAAATTCCAGAGAGACCAAATTTTCTATTATATTACAAACATATTACAATATCATAACAAGGCACAGCTGGCAACAGGATTAGTCATCGACTCCATTCTGCTTCCTGTAAGAATCCTACTATGTTTTATGTATTTTATCTTATCTTTTCTCTCTACTAGCCAGGAAAATGTACTCCCTTTTTAGGTAGACTGTCTAGTTTTAGTTACATCATTGCTCTTTCCCTACTCCAACCTACTGTTTTCTTGAGTTTAGAAGATAATGATCAGAGATATTAAATATTTCAGGGGAGAGAGTGAACCAAGGACATTTCTAATTAAAAAAGGAAAGAGTCTTCTTTCCTCCCATCACTCATGCTTTCTTGGCAACCTTTAAAAGCCACAAAGAAACAAAGGAAAAAACTGGAAACAATTTCTGTCTTAAAGGCAAGTATTTGTATGTAAATACAGCGGAATCCTCTTAATTGCACAGCTAAGTGAAAACACAAACACACCAATTACACTCTCTTCTATTATTCCCTAGTTGATTTCTAGAGGCGAGTAGGAATATAGCCTGATGGCAAATGGTTCTTCCAATATTGTTGGAAAGTGATCTATAAGGGAGAAAAATAAACCCAAACACAAATAGGTGTGAGCGCTTTTTCTTTTGTAGGATGTATTTTTAAAGAGGAAAAACAGTCATGCCTTCTTTCTACGCCAAAGCAGAAAAGTTTTATTTTTGTTTTTGCTTGTTTTATTAGAAAGTCAGGTCTGTGTCTGTTTTTCTTGGAAGGGTCTTTAGGTGACTAGAGGCTAAGTAGGATTATCAAAGGTATCAAGAAAGTAAAACTTAATCAATGGTGAGGAGGAGGACTTTTCCCCCCAGATTTTAAAATATCTTATTAAAAAGTGAGTCCCTCCAGTCCCTTAATTAAAGGCAGAATAAAAGGAACCCCCCATCAAAAACAGGGTAGACAAGATTTGAAAATCCTATTCCTATAGTAATTAGAAAACCAGAATCACCTAACCAGTCAGTCCGTCCAGGTGTTCTATAAGCAATAAACAGCATCAATCCCTATCTCTCCCAACACCTTTCTGGTCATGCTTAGAAGAAGTCACAACGAATTTGATTTATTAAAAGGGCAGGGAAGCAGCCTGTAGTGCACAAACGAGGACCTAATGATCTACTAGATCAGCGGTTTTCAAACTTCATTGCACCGCAACCCCCTTCTGACAACAAAAATTACTACATGACCCCAGGAGAGGCGACTGAAGCCTGAGATCTCTTGAGCCCCGCCACCCCAAGCAGGGGTGGGGGGGAGACGAAAGCCAAAGCCTGAGCCCCACTGCTCTGGGTGTGTTTCGGTGGGGGAGTGGGGGGGGGCAAATCTGAAGCCCAAGGGCTTTAGCCCCAGGTGGGGGGCCTGTAACCTGGACCTCACTGCCCAGGGATCTCACTGCCCAGGGATGAAGCCCTTGGGCTTCGGCTTTGGGCCCGGGTGGTGAGGTTCGGGCTTCAGCTTCAGCCCTGGGCCCCAGCAAGTCTAACGCCAGCCCTGATGACCCCATTAAAACAGAGTCCTCACCCACAGTTTGAGAACCTCTGTATTAGATCTTTTCCATCTCTAAGATCAGGCTGGCAGGGACCACCGGACATGTCATGTACTCTGTATGGAGAAAGGCTACAGAGAAAAACACAGCAGCGATTTGTGTAGGAAACTGCATAGCAGCCTTGCATGGATAAGCGTTATGCTGCTGAATCACATCTATTCCAAAAAGTCTGATATTGTGAAAGATCCACAGTGTAGAGAAACTCTTTCCCATGTCTGCTGCTACACAACTTCCCACATGTCTGCATGCATCAGCCAATGGCAAAACGGGAAAGAGAGAGTCAGCAGAGCAGTTGTATCAAAACATGCCTCACGGTGGGAAATCCATTGATGACTTGCTTTGGGAGGCTAAACCTACTGCCTATTCCACAAAAACTCCACCACAGAAACTCAGGGCGAGGTTTGACCCCATTTGGAAGTATCCATGCACAGAAGAGTATGACTCCAAAAGCCTTTAGTTCAGAAAGAACATTTAAAACCCTTTCTGCAATCAGCAGCCATCCTGGCTTAATAGAGTAGCTCATTTTTTGTTTTGTTTTCTATTGGTGACAGTTTCCAGTTGAAAACTGAAGTATTCAGTATTTCAGCTAAATTCTCGACACAGAAAATAATGGACTTGCTTTGTAACAGATAGACTATCTAGAACATCAGAAGAGTCTTTGGCACCAGAGAAAAGATCTATATTTAAAGCAATTGTTTAATATACAGAGACAAATTCTCCTCTGTTACAGTAGTGCAACTCCTCTGAAGTAAAAGGGGTCACACACCAGTGGAACTGAAAAGATACTATAACTCACAAGTATATAGTCTTTTGTTCTGATGAAGGATTCCTGTAGATTACTTTCATGAAACAGATTAAATGGAATAGTTGTTTACATAATTGGAGCAGTATAACAATACTGAAACCAAACAGACTAGCTGAAGGGGAATAAACAAGCCTGATAAGCAAGGGGAAATACAAAAGGTGACAGAAGGAGTAAATTAATGAAAGAACATTAGATAATCTGAAATCCAAACAGCCTTCCAGTCAGTCTGCCAAGCTTCTAAACACCCACTTGTTCTGAGAAGCATTTCAGCTTCAATGTCACACACTGTTCTGGAAGGTATTCTACTGCTTTTGTACATACACACTGTTAGCTCTATTGTGCCATTCCTGTGTACACTGGGCTTTTGGGATCAAAGTCAGCCCTGGCATACATAGATGGAATTCCTACTGAGTTAATGGGGACTACTGCCATCTTACACTACAGCTAAATGTGTGTCTTACAGCGTGAGCTCCTGGAGGCAGCAAAGTTGCCTGTTGGCAATGTTTGTCTCATGGACGATGCTGTGTTGCAATGGCACTGCACAAACCAAAGACCCACCTGTCATTTCATATTTCCGGTATCTGCTTATTTATGGTAATGTATCAGTTAGGCAGTGATTCCTATTCCCCCAACTGAACTAAGATTAAGCAATTTCACTAAACCCTACAAATCTGAGAAAAATTGCTTTCCAAAACTATAGAATCTTTCATACATTATTGAAGAAGACTTTTGAAAGCTAAAACAAGCCTGCTGAATATAAACAGGTTATCATTGCATGCCAGTGTATTTGATGCATTTTTTGCACAAATATATAAACCAGTAAGTCATGCCGTGTGGAATTCAGATGTATCTAAATCCGTGCTAACTCTTTAAACCCCTCTGGCACAAGACTCCTTTTAGTGTGCCAAGATTGAATTAGTTTCTTACCATTATACATCATCTTCCCTGCCTGATTTCTACAAGGCCCTATGCTCTACTCCCTTCAATGCCACAAAGCATCCTCCCTGAGCTGAAAGCACTATCATCACTGTTCGATTTACTAGAACGAGTCCCTACCATATAATGCAAGACTCCTGCAAATTGCTAGCATATTCTCGTGCAGAGTAATGCAACAAAATGATGATTTCCCTCCTTCCTTTTTACATTCTATACAACAGATGCAGGAGATCTATCAGATGGTAACTTACCTCCTAAAAATACCTTATTATATTGTGCTTTGCAGAACACTGCTGACCCCACCAAAATGGATTACTGAAATATTTTACATCGGATAGAAAGGATGTCAATAATTTTACTTCCATCACACTTGTTCTTGGTCCTACATTCTGCTTACTAAGGCAAATATTAATGTTTTACTAATTTAAGTAGAAGCATCAGTTTAGTGTCAATTTAAAATCTTGATTTTTAAATTTGATAATGCATTGGCTTCCCAAAGGTAAGAGCGTATGACATATACCTTACCATACTTGTAGCTTTGATGTACACATTATCTTTCAGATGGCAATTTCCATCATTGGGAATTACTATCCCGGCCAATTTACTATCAAGGGCCAGATGAGAGGTCTGATCTGTCATCACAAGAAGTAATCGCTTTGCTTCTTTGCGCCAACCAATATGGCTCTAAAAGAAAAAAAGTAAGCATGAGAATGAAATTTAACTCTTTTAATTCTATAATGGTAAATATGTCTATGGAAGTCCAATGTAAGTCTATTTTCAGGTACTGCACTGCTTAAAAGCAAAACATAAGCACTGAAGCTGAGAGTGTAAGCACACACTCAAGGCAGATGAAGTAGTTAAAGCACTAATTCTTTACATATGGGGCTGGGTATTTATCCTGATCCTGCAAAGTACTTATGTGAGCAAAGTTCTGCACATGTTTAAATGCTTTGCAGGATTTGAGGCATAGGGTTAGCAAGTCCACAAGAAGTGAGTTCTGTTAGTTTCAATCCATCTTGGAGCAGATGAATTTATTTTCCATTGACTTGTCTCCTCTCCCCCGCCTCCCTTTTTTTTTAAAAAGAGACATCACCCATAAAAATTGAGTCAGAAATATTTGTTGTGCAATATACGTGTTGGTACAACACAACTGCAAAATTCCATTTGTGATGTTAGTACCTATCAACTCAACTGCACAGTGTTTGTAAAATTCTTTGATTTGAGATCACTACATAGAAGAAACACCCAAAGCAATTCTCTGAATGAATGCAACACATTTTTGAATATACTTAATGATACCAGAGTCAAAATAAGAGAAACACTGGTTTTTTGTAAATTCCTTACACGTCTCAAAAGGGACACAAAACATAGCATCAGTTAGGATATTGCACCCATTCTACTAAACAAAATTTAACATGAAAAAAAATCACAACTATCAATCATGGGTGCCAGGTTTGTGTAATTTTTGGTGGTGCCCAGAACGGATCCAAACAGAGCCGTCCAGTCCATAGGACGGACCGGGACAACCGCCCCAGACCCCGCACTTTGGGGGGCCCCATGCTTCAGGGGGAGGACACGGGATCCAGGGTGGCCTGGGGACTAGCGGGGGGCCTGGCGTTGGCAGCAGTGAGCGACCCAGCCCCAGCCCGTTCCGCCCCGCCGGCTCCCAGCGTTGCTCGGGGAAGGGGTGGAAGCTGGAAAGAGGCGGGGGGTTGGGGGAAGAGTTGGAATGGGGGCGGAGGCAGAGCAGGGACGGGAAGAGGTGGGGCTAGCTGGGGCCAGGTCGCTCGCTGCTGCCGGCAGCATCATGTATGACATCAAGTTCAGCATCAGGTATGACACCCAGGCATTCGGCAACCCAGGCATATATTCAGCTCGGCTGCAGAGCTGGCCTGTGGCTCCTTCTAGCTGCAAAGGGGTGCTGTGGTGCCTGCTCTGTCAAAATTTGTGCAGCTCCATGTCCTAACCTGCCACTGCTTGGGACAAGGTATGTCGACAGTAAGATAAAGTTTACGGGCATATGCAAATGAGTCGATTACATAATTGGATAAAATGTCACATGGAGCTGCACAAAACTTATTAGCTATGACTCTGAGAAGCACAGACCAAAGGATGGTGAGTTGTAGGATGGGAAAAGAGTGGGCTGTGAAGTATTATCCTAAATAATTAAGCTAAACTACACTTGTAAAAATTAAGTGACCACAGAACATATTATGATATGGTATCTTTTATTTTTCCTCTCAGATTTTTTCATTCACTCTCTAATTTGTAAAAATGGTAATTGGCAACGAGTCTCCTACTCAGAGCAAGTTAGAAAGTTCTGCTCTATGAAAAGTTAGTTTGTATTAATTAACTTACAGCTCACACTTGTTGTTATGAAATGCACATTGTTCTCATCCATTTTAGTCCACAATTCAATTAACAGGAAGGACTGTCTATACTCATGAATGTTTCCATTCTATTATTTTTGGAAGCATATAACCCCTTTCGAACTTGAATGTCAGAGGTATGGAATGTATCCAGTGATCAACATTTAAATGCAAGAAATCTTTTCAGTGCTTCAAAGTTATTTTTGTAGCAGCTGTGAACAGGATATCTATGTTTTGTGTTTATTTTCCCGCTTTACACTCTTCATCTTTTTAATATAAAGAAGCCCACAGTTAATCTGTTTTTGGTGGGGTGTTTTTTGTGTGATTATTCTCTCAACTCATTCCCCTGTCCTAAAAGAAAAGGTATAAATGGATAAGAGAGAAGAACCATGAAAAAGAAGCCTGATCCTCTTGACGTGAACAGTACCATTGTCCAGAAGTCCTACCTGCTAAGCTGGACAGGCATTGCATTGCTTGACAAAGCAAAAAGCAAGAGGACTGGATGGACACTCAACTTTGTGTATCATGTAGCTCTTTCCTCATTCTTTTCTACTTTGAGGAGTATGAAGATATTTCTGTAGGCATGCAGTAAGGTGGGGTTTTTTTAAAGTACAAACTCGTTACAAGATTGAACTGACACTGAAATGCATCTGTATGCTAAAACCATACAAGGCAATGACAATTTAGTACTCAAATATTTTCTAAAATGGAGGATTTTAGAAAGTTCAAACCACATGCGCAGCCCTTAGAACAAAGGTAGAGGGAGGATTCTGTATTACTCAGTGGGATCCTCCTTTGGTTAGCTGAAGAGCAGGTCCGCTCTTTAAAGAGCCTAAAACTGTAACATTGGATTTTATCATTATTGTGTCTCAATGATTTACAAATATCAAATATGTTCAGTTTATATATTTACAGTTAGTTGTTTCTAACACCTGAAAATCCAACCCATGATAGGAGAATCAAGATTGGAATTTTCCATTACCAATAATAAAAGTTTTCAGGCCAAATCTGATCCTCAGTTACACTCATTCAACTCCTGACTTTAAATTACACCTTTAATAACTTGTGTAAATGCAACTTGTTGAAGCTTAGTAAACAATTCTGTTGATACAGGAGAACTTGCTCCCAGCTCTGTCTCCCATTGCGGTGTTGACTCTGCTGTGCTAACAGGAATAAGACACAGTAAAACTTATTTTTGTTACCGAAATCAGCACACTTGCATTGGATCACACACACACGGACCAAATATGTTAAGTAGGAAAGTGCCATTTTTACTAGGGCTGTCAAATGATTAACAAAATGAATCATGATTAATCACACTGTTAAGCAATAATGGAATACCATTTATTTAAATATTTTTGTATGTTTTATACATTTTCAAATATATTGATTTCAATTACAACACAGAAATGTGTAGTGTTCACTTTATATTTATTTTTATTATAAATATTTGTGCTGTAAAAAACAAAATAGTATTTTTCACTTCACCAAAAACAAATACTGTAGCACAATCTCTTTATCATGAAAGTTGAACTTACAAATGTAGAATTATGTAAAAAAAAAAAACTGCATTCAAAAATAAACTAACATAAAACTTTAGAGCCTACAAGTCCACTCAGTCCTACTTCTTGTTCAGCCAGTCACCCAGACAATCAAGTCTGTTCACATTTACAGGAGATAATACTGCCCACTTCTCATTTACAATGTCACCTGAAAGTGAGAACAGGCATTCCCCATGGCAGTGTTGTAGCCGGCACCACAAGATATTTATGTGCCAGATAAGCTAATGATTCATATGTCCCTTCATGCTTCAACCACCATTCCAGAGGACATGTGTCCATGCTGATGACAGGTTCTGCTCGATAACGATCGAAAGCAGTGCAGACCGACGCATGTTCACTTTTATCATCTGAGTCAGATGCCACCAGCAGAAGGTCGATTTTCTTTTTTGGTGGTTCAGGGTCTGTAGTTTCTGTATCAGAGCATTGCTCTTTTAAGACTTCTGAAAGCATGCTCCACCCCTTGTGCCTCTCAGATCTTGGAAGGCACTTCAGATTCTTAAACCTTGGGTTGAGAGCTGTAGCTATCCTTAGAAATCTCACATTGGTACCCTCTTTGCGTTTTGTCAGATCTGCAGTGAAAGTGTTCTTAAAACGAACAACATGTGCTGGGTCATCATCCAAGACTGCTAGAACATGAAATACATGACAGAATGCAGGTAAAACAGACAAGGAGGCATACTATTCTCCCCCAAGGAGTTCAGTCAAAATTTAATTAATGCATTATTTTTTTAACGAGTGTCATCAGCATGGAAGCATATCCTCCGGAATGGTGGCTGAAGCATAAAGGGGCATATGAATGTTTATCACATCTGGTAAACACATAAATAACTGGCAATGCCGGCTTCAAAAGTGCCATGTGAATGCCTGTTCTCAATTTCAGGTGACACTGTAAATAAGGAACCAGCAGCATTATATCCCGTAAATGTAAACAAACTTGTTTGTCTTAGCGAGTGGCTGAATAAGAAGTAGGACTGAGTGGACTTGTAGGCTCTAAAGTTTTACATTGTTTTGTTTTTGAGTGAAGTTACGTAACAAAAAAAAAATCTACATTTGTAAGTTGCCCCTTTCACAATAAAGGGTACTTGTTTACCTGTTTCACATTACGGTACTTGTCTGAGGTGAACTGAAAAATACTACTGTCTCTTTTGTTGATCATTTGTACAATGCAAAGATTTGTTATAAAAATAATAATATAAAGTGAGCACTGTACACTTTGTATTCTGTGTTGTATTTGAAATTAATATATTTGAAAATGTAGAAAAACTTCTAGAATATTTAATAAATTTCAATTGGTATTCTACTGTTTAACAGTGTGATTAAAATGGCAATTAATCGTGATATATTTTTGTAATCATGATTAATTTTTTTGAGTTAATTGCATGAGTTAACTGCGATTAATCAACAGCCCTAATTTTTCCATAACCTTTTTTCCCCATACAAGAGCCACATCAATTATCAGCACTGAAAGGGATTCCCCTACTCAGTCCTCCTCCAGCAAGAGGACATTCACGGGGAGCCTTGATGATGGCTTGGAGATTGGAAAGGGGCTGGGGGGAAATGTCATGCCTCTGTCAGGCATAAAGTTGCTAAGGAGCATGATTACTATATTATAAATGGCTCAGTATCATTGAGAACAGAAACAATGATAAATACAGATCTGTTGCTCAACTGCCATTCAGTTCTTTGTTCAGAAATCTCCTTACCTGGCACACAGCTGCCTGAAGCATAGCATCAAACCCTCCTTCAGGTGTATCAATATTCCCAGAGATCTTTTGTTTATTCACTGCATTTTTGAACTCTGCTATGTTGTCAGTCAGAGATAGCACATGAATGTAGCCATGAGGTGGCATACAATCTAAATTATAATCACTGTAGGAGAAAACAAAGCAAGCCCAACATATTATATTATTATTTAAAAATAATTTTAATAACTCCAGTACTAGATGGGTTTTATGGAACAAGTGAATATAGATATTTTGAAAAAAATATATATATATATTTTTATAAAAGAATCTTTATTAGACTCGCTTGAACTAGAAATATTTCTAGTTTATGTTGAACAAAAATTAGTGCATGTTTTTTTTCTTCTAGTTATGTGAAAAGTGTACCCAATCCTAATTGCTTTCATGCAAACATAACAAAAAATAAACAATGCTGAAGTATAGAATTTAATGTACAGCAAAATATGGCAAGAGACAGTATAACCTCAAACAGAACATTATCCCTTTGGAATCCCTAAGAAAGGGAACAATTAGACTTCACATTTAAATTTTTTGTGTCCTGATAAAGAAATACTACATACTAAGGACCAGATCCTGTAACAATTTCACATGACTATGAGCTACAGAATCAAAACCTAAAAACCCATCAACTCTAAAGGGCATAAACACATGAATATACCTCACATTGAGATTAATAATAGTTACATAGCCACACGGATGGAAGACTATGTTCTCAAATTCTCAGAGGTTAAACAATTTTTACCACTTTATGTTAAGGAAGCTTTGAGTAAGAGATAGCTGAGCTAATTCCAGAACCCATAGATTAGGCCCTTTTTCTGTAACACGGTTAAGCATTGACTTCAGTGGGACTGAGGCACCTACATAAGTGCTTAAATGATTCAAGACACAGTTCCTGATCCAAAGCCCATGAAATAATTGAAAAGATGCCCATTGATTTAAATGGACTTGGGTTCAGGCCCTTACAGTAGAGCTAATACGTAGCAACAAGTACAGTAATTCTTCACTTAACATTGTAGTTATGTTCCTGAAAAATGTGACTAAGCGAAACGATGTTAAGCAAATCCAATTTCCCCATAAGAATTAATGTAAATGAGGTGGTTAGGTTCCAGGGAATTTTTTTTCAACAGACAAAAGACATTATATATATATATATATATATATAGACACACACACACACACACAGTATAAGTTTTAAACAAACAATTTAATACTGGTATACAGTGATGATGATTGTGAAGCTTAGTTGAGGTGGAGAAGTCAGAGGGTGGGATATTTCCCAGGGAACAGGGCCGGCTCTGGCTTTTTTGCCGCCCCAGGCAAAAAAACCTCGGGCCGCCCCCCCCCCCCCCAGTGGGGGGGGCGCCGGGGGGGGGGGCGGCTGGAGCCCTGGGAGGAGGGCGGCGAGCCCCAGTCGGGGCTCGGCTCTCCCCCCGGCAGCCAGAGCACAGGGGACAGGGCGGCGAGCCCCGGCCGGGGGGAGGGCGCCGGGGGGGAGGGCGGCCAGAGCGCCGGGGGAGGGCGGCGAGCCCGGCCGTGGCCCCGCTCTCCCCGGCAGCTGGAGCGCCGCACCGCCCCCCTCCAGGTGCTGCCCCAAGCACAAGCTTGGTGGGCTGGTGCCTGGAGCCGGCCCTGCCAGGGAATGCCTTACTGCTAAATGATGAACTAGCAATTGGCTGAGCCCTCAAGGGTTAACTCTCACACTCTACAAGGCAGCAGGAATGGAGGGAGGGGAGACAGCATCGCAGACAGAGACACACACCATGTGTGTGTGTGAGAGAGATGCGCATTTCCCCTTTAAGTACGCTGACCCTACTCTTAAATACACTACCTTGTTAATTAGATCAGCTTGCTGAGACCGCAGCTGCTGCCAGCAAGCTCCCACTGTCCTGAGCCCTGTCGTGTGTCCCCCCTGCTCTATGGAAGATGGGGTAAGCGGGGTGCAGGAGCGGGGAGGGGACGGACACCCTGTCATTAGCCCCCCTCTTTCTCCCCTCCCTCCCGCACAGCAAGCAGGAGTCTCAGGAGCTCCAAGGCAGAGGGCAGGAGCAGCACACGGCAGTGGGGGGAGGGACAGCTGAACTGCCGGCAATTGATAGCCTGCTGGGCAGCTGCTGCACAAGGAACTTAGGGGAGTGGGGAGCTGATGGGGGGCTGTCGGTCCACCCTGGTTCCAAGCCCCCACCAGCTAGTTAAAATGGGCTGCTCTTCCTGCAAGCAGTGGACAAAGTAGGTGGCTGCCAAACGAAGTTAGAAGGGAGCACTGCACAACTTTAAACGAGCATGTTCCCTAATTGATCAGCAACGTAACAACAAAACAACGTTAACCGGGACGACTTTAAGTGAGGAGTTACTGTATATATGATGTAAAAAAGATTAATATTAATTATTCACAAACAATCTGATTTACATATAAGGGTATTTGGATTTGTTGTGTGGAGTCTTGTTCTGTAGCGGTTATGGACAGTGATCCCTCACCTTACATGCATGTTGAATACAAGGAATAAAGTCTGTGACATGCAAAAATAATTGGTCCAATCCTGTACTTCTCACTTGGGGAAAATGAGGGTTTAGCCAAGTAAGAATGGCAGAAGCAAACCCAAAAGGTTCTTATTTTGTTCGTTAAATAGACTGGGAGAAATATGTATTACAGGGATGAAAGGGAAACTTTCAAGGAAAGCATTTTAACACACAAGTTTTGAAAGTACTGTAACTAAAAAATAAACATGCAAAATAATCGATCACAATATCTGACTGTTTTAAACACAAAAGCATATGTAAAATATACAAAACATATGCCTTGAGCGGTTCTGAAATTTTAAAATAATCACCGAATACTGCGTGAAAGAAGCCTTTTTTTCTTAAGAAAGAGAACACTGCTGGGAAACCAAGCTGATATCAAAGAGAAAGACTCATTGTGAAGTTTTAAAAAAATTATAATGTAGCATAACATATTAATTAAGTTCTTATTCATACAGTTTTTCTTACTTGGCATTACCCAAATAAACACACATCATTACATACCTGCACTGATTATGGATTCTTTCTGGGTGAATGCTAATATAGGGTGACACAGTCTTGTCCACATATGATCCAAAGCCAAGTCGAAAATCAAGAGAAATATTTGCCATCTTTTTAGATAAATCAAATCCAACAGAATTTAATTTTTCTATGTTGTTGTGCATAGAAGCTGAGACATCAACTAAATAATAAAGGTCCACCGGATACTTCTCTAGAGGATGGACTTTTAACATAAAGCTTGCTTTACCTCCTGGTTAAAAGGAAACAAACAAGTGTATTACATATTTTCAAATGTACCCTTTTAAAAATACTGCAAATTTACCTTTAATGTTGCAGGCACTATAAACATTTGCAGGCAAACAGAAAAAATAAATTAAAAAAGTCAACGAGGGTTTTAAATGTACATCAAAAATAAATCTTATAGGGCCTGTTATAAAACTTATGTAGCTGGTCTCCTATGTGGGTTATTGTTAAAAATGGGCCTTTTCCTATTATCTTTTAAATTCTTGATTACACAATCCATTTGGCATTATACCAGACAGGAACCATGACTCAAAAACTGAAAGAATTTCAATCACTTCAAGGATGATAGTTTCTAACTGTACCATTTTACTTGGCTAACAAATGGGTCTGGTATCCCCATGAGGGGTGTCTAACTCTATAGGTATTATATATATACACATACCCCAAAGAAAACAGGACCTGAAATGCCTAGTTATGTAGGGCTTCAAGTTTTCCATTACATTAGTGCTAAAGAAGTCAATGAGAAATCTTTCAAGGATTAAAGAAAAACTAAATGTGAGTTTAAGAAGAAAAATCCCTATGCTGACCTCAGACAAAAACAAACACAGGTCACTTTTATCTCAGGATGTCAAATGTCTGTCTGTCCCACAGAGCCACATTACAATCTCTTATGTAACAAAAATCACTAACCTTTAAAAAGATCAGCCTATTGCATTATTATTTGTTGTTTTTGCAATGCCAGCAAAAAACAGCAACATGAATAGACAACTGGGTAGCATTTAAGTTCAACATTGTGAGGGTTTAAATTATTTGTTATTTCACAGCACCCAAAATATGCTAGACACTTCACAGAATAAATAAGATGGCATGATCCCTTCATAAGTATCTTACAATCTAGTATGACATGACACAGTGAGGAAATAGCAAACCAATAGGGAGGGACAAGTGCAGGATAGAGGTTACAGCAGAGATTATTGTAGCTGCTCAACAAAAGCTAGTGTGCAACATGCTTGACCAGAAGCTATTTTAAAAAAAAAAATCATAAAAAATGTGGCTATGCATTTATGCCAGATATTAGTCTATAATGACGCTGCTAGGCAAGATCCTCAGCTAGTGTTAATTGGTGAAGTTCCGTTGACTTTAACAGAGCTATTACAATTTACACCAACTGAGGATCTGCCCCATTGAGTTAAAATGAAAATTGCAAATATATCTATTTTAAAGGCAATTTACCTGATGATTTTGGGGGGGGGGGGGATGAAGGGCAGGGAGGGGTATAAGTGAACATTTTCCGTCTGAAAATTTCAGCTTTTGTTCATGACCAGCTCTTGTATGAACAAAAGAAAATTTCAGTATGTTGAAACTCCACCTTTATGCTTCCTACTTGCCAATGAAAACATTTTTTTTTTAAATGAACCTCACAGTCTTTAATTTGCAATGCAACTCCCACGATGTAAAATATTTTGTCATAAACAGAGCTTTTATTTTCTTCCACATAAATCCTAGCTTTTCTGATTACGTAAGTGAATCCTAAAAGCCAGGATTAAAAACAAAACAAAAATCCTTCACACACACACACACACACACACACACACACACACACACACACTTTTATTCTGCATAACATACCATACAAACACCATACAGCGAGCCAAATTCCTCCACAGTTATACCTATGCAACTCCACTGGGTATAACTAAGGGCAGACTGTGGCCAATCTATTCAATTCTGAGTCTTAGCACCATAGGCAATTTCAGTCTTATGCCTCTCCTGAGCAAAAACCAGCAGTTGCTCTTACTCTGTGAAACTTTGTGACGTGGACAAATGTTCATTTAGGACTAGGAGGAGATCTCTAAGCTCCTTTTCATTTATAGAAAGCAGATTAATTAAACCAGCTTTTCAGAAGGTTGTGTTGCACAGTAGCCCAAAACATTTCAGAGCCCCTAAAATAATTTAATGACAGCTGCTAGAGAGGCCCAGATTCCGAGACCCCTACTCAGCCTGAATTCCACCTTACTCTACAAGTAGTCCTACTGCAGTCAATGGGATTTCTAGAGAAGTAAAGTATGATTCAGTGTGACTAAGGGTATCAGAATGTGACCCACCATTTTAATAATTTGAGGGGTGGAAATGGTGGACGGCTAACTTTCACTTGTGCTTCACTCCTGCAGTAAGACTTGAAGATGACTCAGATCTTAATTCCCTTAATGCTTTTCTACAGAAGGCCCATCTTCCTCGTTAAATGTGGAATTGTCTTTGTGACGGTGACTATTCTCCTTCTGTAGGCTACAGGGAGTTGAAGGACACATGATCACACATATTTGAGTTGGTCAGACAATGACTTTCCATTCATTCAAGGGCAAGTTTAGGTGTACAGAGGTACCTGGGAAGTTATACCGTATATCAACTTTGGGCACCTTTGCAAGCAGATAGTAAATGTGAACAAAAAACAAACAAAATATAGGGCCGTCAAGCGATTAAAAGAATTAATCACGATTAATGACGTGATTAAAAAAAATTAATCGCAATTAATCACGTAATAATAGAATAACATTTATTTAAATATTTTTGGATGTTTTCTACATTTTCAAATATGCTTTTTTCAATTACAACACAGAATACAAAGTGTACAGTGTTCACTTTATATTTATTTTTATTACAAATATTTGCACTGTAAAAAACAAAATAAAATATTTTTCAATTCACCTAATACAAGTACTGTAGTGCAATCTCTTTATTATGAAAGTTAAACTTACAAATGTAGAATTATGTACAAAAAAACTCGATTCAAAAATAAAACAATGTATAACTTTAGAGTCTACAAGTCCACTCGGTCTTACTTCAGCCAGTCGCTCAGACAAACAAGTTTGGTTACCTTTTGCCGGAGACGATGCTGCCAGCTTCTTGTTTACAATATCACCTGAAAATGAGAACAGGAGTTTGCATGGCACTGTTGTAGCAGGCGTCGCAAGATATTTACGTGCCAGATGCGCTAAAGATTCATATGTCCCTTCATGCTTCAACCACCATTCCAGAGGACATGCGTCCATGCTGATGATGTGTTCTGCTCGATAACGATCCAAAGCAGAATGGACCGACGCATGTTCATTTTCATCATCTGAGTCAGATGCCACTAGCAGAAGGCTGACTTTCTTTTTTGGTGGTTCGGGTTCTGTAGTTTCCACATCTGAGTGTTGCTCTTTTAAGACTTCTGAAAGCATGCTCCACACCTCATCCCTCTCAGATTTTGGAAGGCACTTCAGATTCTTAAACCTTGGGAGTGCTGTAGCTATTTTTAAAAATCTCACATTGGTACCTTCTTTGCGTTTTATCTTAAAACGAACAACATGTGCTGGGTCATCATCCAAGACTGATATAACATGAAATATATGGCAGAACGTGGGTAAAACAGAACAGGAGACATACAATTCTCCCCAAAGGAATTCAGTCTCAAATTTAATTAATGCATTATGTTTTTAATGAGCATCATCAGTGTGGAAGCATGTTCCCTGAAATGGTGGCCGAAGCATGAAGGGGCATATGAATGTTTAGCATATCTGGGACGTAAATACTTTGCAACACCGGATACAAAAGTGCCATGCGAACGCCTGTTCTCACTTTCAGGTGACATTGTAAATAAGAAGCAGGCAGAAGTATCTCCCGTAAATGTAAACAAACTTGTTCAGCTAATTGCTAAGACAAACAAGAAGTAGGACTGAGTGGACTTGTAGGCGCTAAAGTTTTACATTGTTTTGTTTTTGAGTGCAGTTACGTAACAATAATAATCTACATTTGTAAATTCAACTTTCATGATAAAGAGACTGCACTACAGTACTTGTATGTGGTGAATTGAAAAATATTATTTCTTTTGTTTACCATTTTTATAGTGCAAATATTGGTAATCAAAAATAATAATATAAAGTGAGCACTGTACACTTTTTATTCTGTGCTGTAATAGAAATCAATGTACTTGAAAATGTAGAAAAACATCCAAAGTATTTAATAAATTTAAATTGGTATTCTATTGTATGGCCGTGCGATTAATTGTGATTATTTTTTTTAATTGCAATTAATTTTTTTGAGTTAATTGCATGAGTTAACTGCGATTAATCGACAGCCCTACAAAAAACCAAAACCAAACAAATCTACAATCTAGGAATTTTAGCTCATAAATTTATTGTATGGGTTCATAAGTAATACAGATTATGTATCCTCAAAGAAAGATTATTTTTATAAGAAAATCTAAATTTAGAAGATAAAGGAAGAACACAAAACAGACAAGACCAGAAAAAAAGAAGTAGCAATTTTAAGGTTACAGTGCCAAATTCTGCAGTCTCTGGTGAGAGTTTTCCTTAGTCAGAATTTGGCCATCAGGAACTAGTAAATGAAGGGACATATTAGAACATCTAGTTTATCTCCTGCCAGGGCAGCTGTTCCTTATGGTGCACTGTCTACTGCTTTGTCCAATCTAGTTTTCCACCATTCCTCTCAAAAGTCTTTTTACAACCTCAGGGCCACCATCTACATTACAAAAATAATCCTGTTTGAACATGACTGTGAAACATGGCTGTGGCCCAAATGCATTATAGACATGTTTCTTCTGGCCTGTGTGAAATACTCCCCACCCAATTAGATTATAAACCTGTTAAGGAACAGTGTTTAAACTCAGGTAACGCCCGAGGTTAAAATTCCGCAGTACAGATATAAGAATTATGGTTTGGTCTATTCAGTAAAGAAGAAATATTATTGTAACAAAGTTGAGTCCCAGCCATATTTCACAGCTGTGCTTAAACAAGTTTGTTTTACTATCATAGATAGGACCTAACAGATATCACCATAAGAAAGTCTCTTCCATATATTCAGCCTAAATCTTCTCTTTCTTCATTTCACTACTCCAAGTTATACCCTCATGTTACAGTACTAGAAATTATGAGTTCTGCAAAATAAACAGGCATATAACATGTCATTCAGATTCTTGTATGAAAATGGGAAAAATAAAATAGGTTTATTGATGCATCCGCTAAGGGCAGCATAACTTACATTGGTCACTCTTCTCTTTGTTCTGACAGAACATGTGTGAGAATATAGCTGTGGGAGATGATTTCATATCACTGCTTCTCCCAGAAATGGTCAGTGTTTAACCTAGGTCTATGACAATGAGTTTCTATTATGCACTTTTTAAAATCTACTGTTACGCTGGGTTTCATTCTAGTTGTCCCATCAGTAAAGACTGCCTCCCATTTCTTCACCAGATAAAAGACACGTAAATGTTATAAGCATTGTATCTAAACAGAAGTCTAACTTTGCAGAGTTTATCCAATATATTTATAAGGAATAGCATCTCACAGTTTATAACATTTATCCTCTATTTTTCATCTCTGATCCATGACCCTTGCATTGACAGCCAACATGATCCAACAATACCATTTATTTGGGAAGTACGGATTGCAATATTTTGCAGATAAAGTTGTGTTAAATTGGAAATATATGGCTTTTCTGAGAGAATAAAGGTATATTTTATAATTGTGACAGGCCATAAACTGAGAGGCAAGGTTCAGTAAGAGAGTGGTGTACCACTTCATTGGGATGCACAGCAGAGGCATATAGTATTATCAATTTTCATTCAATTTTGTTATCTCAGACATGGTCTGAAACAGTTAAGTAAAATGCAAATTACTGTATTTTTACAGTTACTTGGATTACTTATTAAATATAATACCTATGAAAAAGTCTGTGCATATAAGTGCACATAATCCATTTAATGATTTATGAACCCGAAGTGCACAATAAAGCTGAAGCGTACATAATGGTTTAGATTTTCAAAGGGAGCAAAAAGAAATAGGTGCTAATTCCCACTGAAAGTCAATGGGACTTGGAAGCCTAACTCCCTTAGGCCCCTTTGAAAGTCTCAGGTGATGTCCCAAGCTTCACAACAAGCAACACACACTTTAGCAAAGTGCAACTTTTGAATATGCACATGTGCCAGTGAGGTGAGGAAACATGTCACCTGTGTGAGTTGCATATGAAAATTGTGTAGAAAAAGGAGCAGCTCCCTTTCCTCTAAGGTATCAACATCCCTTTGGTACTATTGTTTTGCAGGTGGGGGTTGAGGCATTGCTATCAGGAAAGACTGTAGCAGGAGTTGCAGCTCTTGCTCTAAAGAGCGTGCACCACTTGGAAACTCATGGACTTTCCCACTGATGACTTCACTGGAAATTAATGCTATTCAGACCAGTATTAATCTCTAATACATGATGTCTATCCCCTTGTGAGGACAGGGGTAGAGTGGATGGCTGTGGGACAGGGATGAATTGAAGCATGGCCACTGAGCTAGCCAAGTGTTTGGGGCTGAAGAAATGGGAAGATGGCTGAGGAGCAGTATAGAGGGACAGGCATTCCAAGCTATGCTCCAGGATCCACAAGGTTGGGGTCATCCATACAGAGCCTTCTTGAGTGTTCATGATTAGAAGACCTACAACCACTGCTCCCATCCATGAAGCCAATAGATTTCCCCCCCCTCCTTCTGGACGAGGTAATTTCTGGGGTGTCTTGTGGCTTCTAAGTAGGTATATTTTGTATTATCTTTTCCCTTTCTGTATAATTTCCATCAAATGGGATGACATGGTCATATGATATGGCATGGTTTAGATTATATGTGGGAAAAGAACTATATTACAACAATACTACTGAAATTTTAAATTGCATGAGAGTCAGGAAATTCAATGAGGGTTTTTACAACAACTCTATTACAGTACAGTCTTCTATTCTAACACAATATACTCCAGCATTCTCACTCTAGCACTTATGTGCATTAAATTTACACTACAGAAAAAAGCAAAAAATCTTGTATCCAAAAATATCCTAAATGTCTTTTTTGTGTTTGGGCGCATGAACTAGTAAGTCACTTTGTAACAATTTTGTTAGATAGTCAACATTATGGACCAAACAATGTTTTGGTATTTAATCTAATGAGGTGGGTTTCATTCTTCCAATTCTGGGATAATTCAAGCAACAGAATTATAACCTGTCTTTTGAGAATTTCTGGAACTTAACCTGCATATTTCCAAGTACAAAACTCCATTCTTGACATTAACTTGGTGGATCAGGATGGAAACAGCTAACAAATAAAAATGAAACAAAACACTGCAAAAAGTTTTCACCTTCACCTCCATGTCACTGTTGTGAAACTCAGTGGCAGCCCTAACCCTGAGTTAATGGGCATAGCTGCCAATTTTTAGCTATACCCATAGGAACATTGCAGTTATACTTCTACAAATAGTTTTATAGATGAAAGATAGTTAGTTTCATTCTTCTAAATAATAATTACAGCCACTGCCTCACAGACTGGATTGAAGCGTCCCTGTATTTAGTTTAGATTTAATACAGAAGCAATGCTTTAGATAACCAAACCTGGACGCAGTTGGATTGAAACCTCCCCCGGTGTTACTTGTGTATTTGTCTTGTGGTCGCTGGGTATTGTTACACGAATGGTGGGATTTTCTATAAATTCTGATTGGCAGCCTTTTTTTATTAAATTAAAAACCATGTCACATCGTCCCTTCTGTGTTGCTCCTGCCATGAAATCCTGGTTGAAAAGAGGCAAAAAGTACAAGCCATTTTAAGTTAGAAAATATATAATCTTCAAAGGAAACCAAGTTACCAAATAACAAGTGTTTCAAACAATAGAACATGCTTCTATAATTGCAAAGACTGTTGTGCAAGGCCATGGAAACCACATGTTTTTAATAAGGACAATAACAAGAAAATATTTAAAATAGAAGTTAAAGAAAAATAATTTTAGATTTAAAGGACAAAACTTTTTGAATAGAGAGAGGATTTTGCACTTTTAGAACAAGCTGCCTTTGGGAAAAGGATGGTATGCACTGTCATTATGTCACTGTAAAATTGTTTGTGCTACGTTCACTAAAGCAGTTCCACCAAAGTAGTGTGAGCCACACTTACTATTTTACTTCAAAATGTACTGCTCATTTCTCAGAAAAAGTCTACTGGAAATTTTGTTTATGACAATAATTTCAAAATTAGGACCAATATTTTCAAAATTAGGACCAATATCTATAGTTAAGTTGCTCAACAAGTGGCCAGATTTTCAAGTGTGCTGGAAACTCAGCAGCTCCCACTGAGGCCAGTGGGAACTGCCAGATTTTTGAAAGTCTTTTGTAGGGGGCATGAAGGGTTATTTGAGTATTTGGTGAGGAGGAAGCCTACTACATCTTCCTAGCAATTGCACAACTGCGGATGAGCTGTACTGTGCTCAAAACAGGGGTGAAGTTCTATGACCCATGCAATACAGGATGACAGACTATATGATTTAATGGTTTCTTCTGGCCCATTAAAAATCTTCAAGCTGCTGAGCCCATCTGTTCCCCCTATATAAGCCATAAGAGACAGTTATGCCAGTATCCTCTTGTTTTGTGGTTGCCTGTGTATGGGGCAGGAAATGTTTTAAATAGGGCTGTCGATTAATCGCAGTTAACTCATGCGATCAACTCAACAAAATAAATCACGATTAATCACAGTTTTAATTGCACTGTTAAACAACAGAATACCAATTTAAATGTATTAAATATTTTTGCTTGTTTTTCTACATTTTCAAATACAACACAGATTACAAAGTGTACAGTGCTCACTTTATATTTATTTTTGATTATGAATATTTGCACTGTAAAAAAAGAAATAGTATTTTTCAATTTACCTCATACAAGTACTATAGTGCAATCTCTTTATCATGAAAGTAGAACTTACAAATGTAGAATTATGTACAAAATATAACTACACTCAAAAACAAAATTATGTAAAACTTTAGAGCGGGCAAGTATACTCAGTCCTACTTCTTATTCAGCCAATCGCTAAGACAAACAAGTTTGTTTACATTTACAGGAGATAATGCTGCCGGCTCCTTATTTACAGTGTCACCTGAAATTGAGAACAAGCATTCACATGGCACTTTTGTAGCCAGCATTGCCAGGTATTTACGTGCCAGATATGCTAAACATTCATATGCCCCTTCATGCTTTGGTCACCATTCCAGAGGACATGCTTCCATGCTGATGATGCTTGTTAAAAAAATAATGTGTAAAATTTGCGACTAAACAACTTGGGGAGAATTGTATGTCTCCCAGTCTGTTCTACCCGCATTTTGCCATATATTTCATGTTAGAGCAGTCTTGGATGATGACCCACCACATGTTGTTCGTTTTAAGAACACTTTCACTGCAGATTTGACAAAACACAAAAGTGTGAGATTTCTAAAGATAGTCACAGCACTCGACCCAAAGTTTAAAAGCTGAAGTGCCTTCCAAAATCTGAGAGGGATGAGGTGTGGAACATGCCTTCAGAAGTCTTAAAAGAGCAACACTCTGATGCAGAAACTACAGGGACTGAGTGGACTTGCAGGCTCTAAAGTTTTACATTGTTTTGTTTTTGAATGCAGTTATATTTTGTACGTAATTCTACATATGTAAGTTCAACTTTCATGATAAAGAGATTGCACTACAGTACTTGTATTAGGTAAACTGAAAATACTATTTCTTTTTCTTTTTTTTTTTTTTTTTTACAGTGCACATATTCATAATCAAAAATAAATATAAAGTGAGCACTGTACACTTTGTATTCAGTGTTGTAACTGAAATCAATATATTTGAAAATGTAGAAAACTTCAAAAAATATTTAAATAAATGGTATTTCATTATTGTTCAATTGCGCGATTAATCCCATATTTACTTCTTTTAATCTCTTGACAGACGTAGTTTTAATTTGTCAAAATACTGGGAGATGTGGATAACAGCAAAAGGGAGCTTTTGTAAAGGAGCTTTCCCTTGTATATAGCTCCAAAACTTTTAGACAGAGGTGGGTTTGGGTTTGTTTCCCCTGCTCTCCAATTCCACAATCTTAGGGATGTGGCTTGCGTGTCAGACTAAGCAAACTATAGAACAGGGGTCGGCAACCTACAGCACGTGTGCCAAAGGTGGCACGCGAGCTGATTTTTAATGGCACACCGAGGTCCCGACCGCCGGCCCCGCTCAGCCCGCTGCCGGCCTGGGTGAAGGGAACCCCAGGCCGGTAGCAGGCTGAGCGGAGCCGGCGGCTGAGACCCCAGCTGGCAGGATCCAGTGGCCAGAACCCCAGACTAGCAGCGGGCTGAGCGGGGTCCTGGCCCTGCTCAGCCCGCTGCCAGCCCAGGGTCCCAGCCGCCAGTCCCCCTCAGCCCACTGCTGGCCTGGATGGACGGAACCCCGGGCGAGCAGTGGGCTGAGTGGGGCCAGCGGCTGGAACCCCGACTAGCAGGAGCCAGTGGACGGAACTCCAGACCGGCAGCGGGCTGAACTGCTCAGCCCGCCACCACTCTGGGGTCCCGGCCGCCGGCCCCGCTCAGCCCGCCGGTGCTCTGGGGTTCCAGCTGCTGGCCCCTTGCCAGCCGGGGTCCTGGCCGCCGGGACCCCGCTGGCAAGGGGCCGGCAGCCAGAACCTAGAAGTAAAGTAAGGCGGAGCGTGCACGCTCAGAGCCGGCCGATGCTGGGGGGCTCCGCTGCGAGTGGAGGCCCGGCGCGTGGCGCGCTTCCAGCTGGGGTCCTGCTGGCTGCCGGAACTCTCCTGCAGGCTGGTGCTGGCGGCCCCGTGCACCGGACTAAGCAGCAGGCAGTCAGGCAAGTGAAAGGGGCCGGCAGGAGGCGCAGTGGAGGTGTCCACATCCCAGCCTGTCCTGCTGCCCCTCTCTCGCCACTGTGGCTGAATACCAGGGCACTGCAGGCACGTGCCGTCCCTGCAGCGTGCACAGCTGCGGCCCCTGGGGAAGAAGGGGAAGGGAGCGGCAGGCCAGGGGGTCTTATGCCGCTGCCCCCCATTTGCCTGCAGATGCAGTGCCCACACACAGCTGGCCCACAGCTCCCTTGGCAGGAACAGGAACAGCGTGGGGCAGGGACCCATCCACCATCCAGGTAACCCGGCTGCAACCGAGACTGTCCCAGGCCAGTCCCAAGCCCCCGCCCCTCCAGGACTTCCCCCCTACACACACACCCCAACTCCCTGCCCTGAGCCCCTCATGCCACCCAACCCTGACTCCTGCACCCCCCATGCTCCCAGCCCTGACTCCTGCATCATCCACATACCCACCCCCTGCCCTGAGCCCCCCGCACCCCAACCCCCTGCCCTGAGTGCTCCCCCCCACACCCACACATCCCCAGCCCCTGATCTCCTCCCCCCGAGGGGGGTTGCAATATGACAGTACCTGTAAGAAATTTAAGTTACTTTCACCCCTGCTGGAACCCCAGACCAGCAGCGGACTGAGCGGAGCCGGAGGTGGGCTGAGCGTCTCATCCCGCTGCTGGTCTGGGGTTCCGGCCGCCAGCCCCGCCAGCCCACTGCCAGCCTGGGGTACTGGCAGCCAGCCTGGGGCTCTGCTCCTGGCCTCGACCCAGCGCTCTTCAGTCACCCCCTGCTGTAGCCCACATTGGAAAACTCAGCAGGGAAAAGCGAGGGCAAGGATCACACTAAACCGATAAGATCTGCATTTTAATTTTATTTTAAATGAAGCTTCTTAAATATTTTAAAAACCTTATTTACTTTAAATACAACAATAGTTTATTTATATAATATAGATTTATAGAGAGAGACCTTCTAAAAACGTTAAAATGTATTACTGGCACGCGAAACCTTAAATTAGAGTGAACTTGGCACACCACTTCTGAAAGGTTGCCTACCCCTGCTATAGAATGAGATGATCTTTCATGGAATCTTACTCCATTAACTTCTCGGGCCACAGATTTTTTAATGGGTTACTTTCACAAACAGGTGGTTTTCAAAGAACAAATTAAATGTATGAGAACTTTTTTTTAAAATATCAAACAGAAGTGGATCAATTAATTTTTGTTTTATTAACAAAGACATTCAGGCTTTGTTTGCTGAAATTCATAAAATACTCCCACAGTAGCACACACTGTTAACAAAGAAATGCAGAAAACATAAAATGGGAAAGAAAAAGAAAAAGGGTGTGGTTGTAAAAAAAATTCTCCTACACAAAGAGTTTTGAAAGATGGTTTTAACAGGCACAGACAAAATTTAATAATTAGTTTTGATGCCAGGAAGTTTTTCATTTAGTAATATGAGAGCTAGTTGAATAGTTTCAATTTGTGTGTGTTTACATGCAAATAATGTAGCAAATTATCATTTCTGGGGTATGTTAATTGTAGTTTGTGAGTATGGATGCCACCACTTATTTATGAAAGGGTCGACAAATCCAGAACATTTAGTGCATTTTAAACAGGAATGATGATTCATCTAAAATATTCATACTGAAAGTGTTATTCATTATTTGCTAGTCACTATCTGAATTCTCTTCAGCAAAAGAATAAAACAAGACAATCATTCAACCGGGGAGTAGAAACAATAACATCCAACTACACATGGCAATGAGAAATAGCACAAGGGTAAAAGACATTGGCCTGTTCTACATTTAAAATGTAGGTTGACATTGCTATGTTAGTCAGAGGTGTGAAAAATCCACTCGAGTGCCGTAGCTATACTGACCTAACCCCCCAGTCTACACGCAGCTACGTCAATAGAAAAATATTCCCATTAACCTAGCTACCATTGTTTAGGGAGGTGGTGTTCATACAGGGATAGGTTATGGGGACAAAGCTACAGCACTGTACCTATGCCAGTATAGTCCCTAAAGTGTACACATACTCATAGTGAAAGAGAAAGGGTGACATTTGTTCACAAAATACTTGATGAACACTTGGGGATAACAAATACACTTGTAGAAGTTGCAGTCAGTGCATAAACAGAAAGAGAAAAATAGCACCATCAGTTCTAATTAACAGCTTTAAAACAATCAAATTAGCAATGTTTGTAGTGTATTGAAGAAATATAAAAATATACACTTTAAAATTGCATATACAAAATGGAAAGTTTAAAAATGATTTTGTAACAAAACACTATGGAAAAATACGCAAAGATTGACTGTAATAATGTAGTATTTTAACTGACCCACCATTCAGCCTCTAAAATTATACTGGCATGAAGTGGAGAGAGAGAAACCCATTGGCTGCAATGTGAGCATAAAAATAAATGAATCCTTGTGAAGTCAGCAGATGACATCTTACACTATTACTAATTGCCTAAAAGTGCCCTTAAAAGTTTTTGTGAACTTCTAATTGCCAGTAAACAATCTTGCAAATGAAATAAAATAAAATAAAAACCTACAAATCACCCTTAACACTCTTCAGAGACATGAAAACTCATAACTGGGTATATACAAATTGAAATTAACTGGTTGTTTGTCAAAAACAGAAACCTCACTGTTTTCAATACAGTACTGATTTCAGAATAATTCAATTTATCACAAAAGCATGACAATCCCTGGCAAGTCACAAAACTGAAGGTTTCTTGTGTCAAAAATAGCAAAGCATCAGTTTTCCATATGTGACAAAGGAAATGATGTCTGATGAAATCAAATTGACTCCAAGAAATTCAAAACCAAAACATTACTAGTAAAGTAACTTGCTGAAATGTAATAAGCACAGATATGAAAATGATTTGCTTCTGATATATAATGAAAGTGTTTAATACCAATTACTGATAAGTAATTTTGTATTGCTGAAGCCAAAAACTTTTGAACTCCCCAAAGTTACTTTTAGTCTGCCAATGCTGTCTATAAAGTAGATGGAAAACATAAAAAGGTTCACACTTTATTTAAAAATTACTGTAATTTTCCAGATAAAAAAAGTAACATTTTCTCTTTTGGCAACCAAATATATTTCACATGATTTCTCAGGTGCTGTCTCCAAGAATAAGTCTAAATAATTTTTCCCTGTTATTTCTCAATATCTTTCTTTTTAATATTCTGGAGTTCCTTCATCTGCATAAGTGTGTTAGAAGCAGGTAAAATAAATAAATACAACAATAAAACAAAGAAATAGCTCACCTCTTGAGAACACCATCCACACTCTGGGCCCAGGGCAAGACACATTGTGCACGTTAGTGTATTTGAAGTGGCACATCTGTTTTCTGCTGTAATGAAATATAAAAACAAACATTAGTGATTCATAATGGTATGTGGGAACTCTGTAAAATGCCTAATTTTAAACTCTGATTAAATAAACTACTGTTTAGCAGATTAAGACTGACGATAAAAAG